GTGGGGGGGGCCGGCCCGCCCCGAAACGAAAACGTAAAAAGCCGGGTTTTAAAGGGGATGGGCCGGCACGGCACGGCCCGTTTGACACCTCTAGGTGGGAAGATAAGGTGGGTGGGAAAATAGGACTGGTGGGTGAAAATAGCATTCACTCTTATTCTTGTATATTTTTGTAGAAATGTAGTTATACCTCATTTTCAAGAAAATTTTTAGAGAAATGTGACTTCTTCTTTTTTTTTTTTTTTTTGTCTTTTCAAAATTCATGATTTGTCATCTAACTTTAACACCATTCAATTTTCCATCTATTTTTTAACAGTATTTTAGTCTTTCCATTTTCAAGGGAAAAAAATAGAGAAAAAAGAGACGTACCTCTCCTCTCCCCCACCTGCCCCCAAAACACATCACATAGGACTCTCTCTCTCTCTCTCTCTCTCTCTCTCTCTCTCTCTCTCAAAGTTTGCTTGGTCATCATTTGTTATGTAGGCTAGCAAATTGTTGGTTTGGTAGTTGTCATTCCATAAATTTTCATTATTAAAATGGAAAAATACAAAAAAAAAAAAAAAAAGAAGAAAAAGGTAGGATGAGGGAATTTGTGTGTGGAGGGTAGGTGTTCCGTTGTAGAGAGGGAAGGATGAATGGATTTCAAGTTGTGCGGGGTTGGTTGGAGCCGCTAGTGGTGCATAGGGATGGGGAAGCTGAGATTTTTTATTTTTTTTTCAATTTTAATTGTTTAAAAAGATATACAATTTTTTTTTTATAATGATTTTTTCATTGTTTAAAATACCCTTGAAAATGGAAAGACCAAAATACCCTTAAAATATATGAAAAATTGGATTGTGTTAAAGTTAGATGAGAAATAATGGATTGTGAAAAATTAAAGTCACATTTTTCTTAAATTTTTATTTAAGGTAACAAATTGAAATTGATGTATAAGTTCAGGTGACATTTCTACAAAAATCTCTAAACTTAATACGGAGTGACTTTGTATTAAATAGCCGAATCATAATGTTGATGAAAAGCAGGACTCTCTATTTCTCTCATCATGTGTGTGCTAGCTATTACAATATTGAGTTCGCTAAATAGTTTATTTGGGGTCATATTTCTTTTTTTCTTTTCTTTTTTTCCTTTTCGAATTTGGTTCAAAGGGTAAAACTGTTGGTTTTTAGACTTTACAAAAATATGGCATACATTGATTAATTTGGAATCAAGTTTATCATTTTATTTGAAATTTGGAATATATTTATAGTTTTTAAATTGATTTATTTATATCTAACATTTGTACCTTTTCTTTTCGGTTATATGGACCTCTCAAAGCCCAAAATAATTCAGCATGAACCAAACTCCAGCCGGATCTTCCGTGATCAAGCTCACAATCTCATCATGGGGAGAGTAGAAAACCCGAAAAACTCAAGTTAATATAAATGTGATCCCTAAACACTTAAAGAAACAGTTGAATAAAATTAAACTCATAACTGAAAAATGAACTTGAACCCCATAAAGGTGTACCATTGAGACCGATCCAAATCATACCAAATTTTTGTTGATCAACTTGGTCACACACTGATCTATACCAAATCCACAAGAATTTTCTTCATGTTATCAACCAGCTCCTGCATTTGCTCTCTCGCGTGCAATGGCGATGGATACACACAAACACAATCCAGCCTTCCATTCCTTATCGTGTCGAAAATCGCAATGGAAGGGCCGATGCCGTGCACCGAAGCGCAGCCGATATAGTCATCTACTCCCAGCTCTCGTTGCATGTCATTGTAATCATCAATGATGGTGTCTTCAAACACTGTCATGAATGATGATCGCAAGGAAGACGATGGGGTCAACGCCGGGTTTTCGATCGCCTTGCACATCACGAAGCTCAGGGCAGCCAAGTCTGTGAAGTGTTTGTCGCTGTTCTTAGAGCTTGCAAAGGCCGTGTAGGTTTTCTTGGCAAGCTCCCACAGGTTTTCTCCTCCTTTGATGGTGTGGATGTGGGGGATGACGGAGTGATAATTTCCTGAATGTCAAAGGGTATTTCAATCATTTTGACATGCACAAATATATATGGTTTTGATTTATTGTATAGAAAAATTTATACTGTATGGGATTAGAATGACCAAGGGGGGATGTGAATTTACCAAAATGGTGAATTGAAAGAGCTGGATCAAAATTGGAGCGGCAATCAATGAGTGTTAGTATCCCATACTTCTTCTTTTGATGGTGTTTAGAGCACTTATCTGCCGCCATCAATCCAGCAGCTACCAATGCTCCACATAATTTAATCCCTTTAGCCTTGCAACCCTACAAATTTTGATTTCATTGATCACAAGCAAGATTGCTCAATAAGTGCCGTAATATCCAAATGAAAAAAGTTTGGTTATCTCTGTATTCGACAATGTATCAGGTACTGTAGATTGATACTCGAATTATTAACTATATATATATATATTAAAGGTGTATGCATATATTAAACTTACATCGAGAATCCTTTGAGTTTCCTCTTGATTCATCTGAAACCTTACCACCTGAGAAGATCTAGCTGACTTGGTGTCTTTGAATTTCAAATTTGTGAGCCTCAGGGAGTTGAGAGAGTAACTAAGCATGTCCACCCCACGAGCCCAAAAGGGCTTCTTAGCAATCCTAGAAGGAACAAGGTCCTCAATTCCCGAATTGACCTCTCCTTTACTCCCAATTTCCTTCTCTATCCCTCTCCCCTCTCCATCATTAGTACCACCAATCAAGTACCCCAGCAACTCTCTCAGCATAGTCTCAGCCGTGGTGTGGTCACAAGCTGACACGTGTAGCCTCATCACGGCCACCCACTTCGCATTGGGGAGGGTGTAGATTGTTCCAAAGAACATGTCTTGATCATTTGTGCTAGCACTTGATGAAGAAGAAGAAGAAGTAGTAGTAGTAGTTTTAGTCCAAGTGTTTTTGTTTAGCTCGTGTTCAAGGATCAGGTGGAAGGGAGAGACTGAATTATTACTTGGGTTTGATAGGGTTTCAAGGATTTCCATAGTTGATGAGAGGTCGAATGTTTTGATTTGGACAAAAGGGGTGGGGGATGTGACAAAGGAGAATGTGTTCATTTTGGTGTTGGTATGGAGCCTGGAGTTTAGGATTGGATGGGCGTTTTGCAGCTTGTGAAGTGCAGTTTGGTATTTGAGCATATCCGGAGCGCGGGAGATGTCAAAACCCAGCACCGTTATGCCAGTGCCGCCCGGCACGGCTCGGCACCAGCTGTTCTCCATGGCACCAACTGCTCGACCTCTTGGCTGATCCGCCATTTTCAAAGCCTTACTGAAATAGTAGAAGTATAGCTAGGTTTTTTTGTTTGTTTTGCTTTTGGTAGCTAATAGCTAGAGTTGCAATATAATGGTAAGTTGTGGTGAGATTTATATACAAACTGATGGAGAGTCACATCACATGGCCATTCTGTGTATAAATTTTGAAGACTTGCGATGGTAAGATTTTAAGACAAATATGGTTGAATTTCGCATTAAGTTTTCATCTGCCCTGCCCTCTGTTTTGGTAGGTGATCAATTGCCTTATTAACTGCGTCTACCGATGTGCATTAAAGAAATCTTCAAGCCCTCTCTCTCTCTCTCTCTCTCTCTCTCTCTCTCTCTCTCTCTCTCTCTCTCTCTCTCTCACCAACAAAAACAAAAAATTTCTCTTTTTACCTGCAAAAACAAAACAAAACAAAACAATTTTGGAAGTAAAAACTTATTTGAACAAGAAAATTTTGGAATTAAAAACTTGTTTTTCTTTTGGCATAAGTTAATTAATTGATCATGTGTGACACAATAACGCAAATTATAAATATGTAAGCATAAAAGTGATACATGATCCATACATATTATTACTCAAATTTCGTAACAACTTTTTAGATCTTCCATTCTACATTAATTGCCATCACAACCCACAAGAATTGTCTTCATGTCATCAACCAACCCCTGCATTTGCTCTCTAGAGTGCAATGGTGCTGGGTACACACAAACACAATCCAGCCGTCCATCTCTGATCGTGTCGAAGATTGCAATGGAAGGGCCAATGCCATGCACTGAAGCACACCCCATGTATTCCTCCAGCCCCAGCTCTCTCTGCTTGTCGTTTGAATCATCAATCACTGGGTCCTCAAACACTGACATGAACGATGTTCTTAAGGAAGACGACGAGGTCAAGGTAGGGTTGTCGATGGCCTTGCACATCAGGAAGTTGAGGTCAGCCATGTCTGAGAAGTGCTTGTTGTTGCTCTTAGAGCTTGCAAAGGCCCTGTAGGTTTTGTTGGCCAGCTCCCATAGAGTTTCTCCTCCTTTAGTAGCATGGGTGTTGAGGATGGCAGAGTGGTAAAATCCTGAATGTTGAAGGGTATTTCAGTCATTTCACAAGCATTACTAGTCAGCCATTAGCGTAGTTAGTAATTGTGGGTGAGGGCATGCATATTCAAATTATGTGACACGTCATATTTTAACTTAATGTTATTTGCCACGTACAAGAAAACTCCCAATTTATATTCTTTTTTATGTACGTCTTTCATCCATACTAAAATACGTGAATTAATAACACCACATTTCTAATATTCCAATATTCAGTATCTATCAGCCATGTGCAATGACTTAATGAGTGTAACAGAAGAATATGGTGACCTACGATGATACAATGGTTTTGGGAGCTAAGGGGGCCGCATATGATATAATAAACCGTACCATTCTAGGTTGGCTGGGTCCGCAGGACATGTGTCAAAAAAAGATGCCATCTGGTACACTTTAGGATAGTGACTGTTAGCAAAATGGTTGTGTCAATTAATGTTTGTAAATATGTGCCCCCACACCTACGACACATCGTATTCGTATAGATAACAGATAACACATAATAATGTGACTAACTTATATAAGTACAAATATGAGAATTATGCTTCCTATGAACATGAATAAGAAACAAGTCGCATGGGTGTCACATAAGTAATTTGATTTTAACACGACAAATATATGTTTTACTAACCTACCTTAATTACATGAAGTTATATCATGTTCAATTTGTGAAAATTTATAGAATTGGAGAAATGTTCTCATAATACAATTTATATTGTGAGACATAAAACACATATATAATTAATATTCTAAGACATAGCGAATCTGATCACAGCTCATGCAATCATGTCATATAAGATAATTATGTTGCCAAATAGTCCTAAAATATTTCTAGACGGAAAATGTTAGGAATATTTGTTATCGTACCACATTGTGCACCATATATCTAATAGAAATATAACATATGACCTACACTTATTAGAGAATGTACACAAGTGATACAATAATACATTGTGCATCATATATCTAACAGAAATATGAAATAACTACCCTACATCTATTATGATATGTTTGGATGAGAAAATTTAAAAGTGTAGAAATTAATGACGGAATTAAAAAATGACGGAAATTAATGTTCTAGAATCTGTAAAGTTTCTTGTTTGGATGACAGATTTAAAATATGAAATTTAACGTTTGTTTGTAAAGTTATATTTTTTAAAAACTCAATCTCTCTTGGAATTTTAGATAGAATTTAAAGTTGGGATTTATGACCTCCAAATTTCATTTTTTTTTCCCACATAGAATTTTTAAATTTCTATGTTTTTGTATCCAAATACGGGAATTGGTTCGTGTAAATTTAGAAATTCTGATTTTTGTCAAAATCCCAAGTTTATTTCCCTCATCCAAAATCACTGTAACATATGTATACACAAGTGATACCATAATGTAATTTCCCTAGCGCGTACAAGATATTTTTACTCCCGAACAGTCATGAATGCAAAAATGGTATTTGAACAGGGTTTGTGAATTACCAAAATGTTTATGTGAAAGAGCTGGATGGAGATTGGATCGACAATCAGTGAGTGTCACTACACCGTACTTCTTCTGATTTTCCAGACGATAATCATCCACAGCCATCAAACCAGCAGCCACCAATGCTGCACATAATTTAATCCCTCTTGTCTTGCATCCCTACAATAATCAAATTAATTAAGCTAATACCACAAATTGAATTACATTAATACAAATTTATAAATAAACCCAATCCTAGACATGTATTTATAAAAAAACCCAAACACTATTTAAACATAGAAACACACCCAAAATCAACCCCAAAGTCAACAATTATATATTTTTTGGGTGTGTTTATAAATGGGTTTTGAGTGTGTGTAATGATGGGTTTTGGGTGTGTTTATAAAGTGTTTTGGGTGTTGGGTTTTTTTATAATTTCAGCTTTCATTTTGGGTGTTTTTGTGAAACTCCCTTAAATTAATCAATCCATTGTATATATATGTGCAAATTAAATGGTTAATGTAATAAAACTTACATTGAGAACCCTCTGAGTGTCATCTTCATTCATCTGCAGCCTCACCACCCGAGAAACCCTAGCCGATTTGGTGTCGGTGAATTTCATATTAGTCAGCCTCAGGGAATTAACAGAGTAACTAAGCATGTCCATTCCACGTACCCACATAGCCTTCTTACCCTTCCCACAAGGAATAAGATCCTCAATTCCCAAATTGACATCCCCTTTGTTCCCAATTTCCATATTCACCTCTCTCCCTTCGTCTCCACCACCCATCAACCCCACCACCTCTCTCAGAAAAGACACTGACGTGGTACGGTCACACGCTGAGACATGAAGCCTCAGCGCCACGACCCACGTGGCGCTTGGCAGAGCATAGATGCTTGCGAAGAACATGTCTTGGTCAGTTGTGCATGTAGTGTTCTTCAGCTGCCAAGGGTTTTGGTTCAGCTCATGCTCAAGGATCAGGTGAAAAGCAGAGACTGAGGGGTTGCTAATTGGGCTGTAGAGGGTTTCAAGGATTTCCAAAGTTGAAGAGAGGCTGAACGATTTGATTTGGACATAGGGAGTGGGGGATGGGACAAAGGAGAGTGTGTTTGTTTTGGGGTTTGTATGGAGCCTTGAGTTGAGGATGGGGTGGGAGTTTTGGACTTTAAGGAGGGCAGTTTGGAGATTGAGCACATCCGGGGGTTTCGAGGCATGAAGGGCTAGCACCGTGATGCCGGTGCCGCCAGGCACGGCGTGACACCAGCTGGTCTCTGTGCCTCCAACTGGTCGGCCTTTTGGCTCAGCCATTTTCAAAGTCTTGATGAAATATTTCGTACCAGCAGTGGCTTTTTAGTGCTGTTGTTTTGTGGTGGTAGTACGTGAGTGGTAGTGGGATATTTTATAGGCAAAAAGGGTGGGGTGGAGGGTCGCATCATTGTCTTTCTTTGTATAAAAAACGAACCTTAGGGTAGCATGGCTAATTAATGAATTTTACATTGATTTCTATATGCCCTCGTACTTTGGTAGGTGACTTGGTGCAGAATCTGGTTATGAAACAATTGACCTTTCAATTGAGAAGATTTTGAAAGGCTAAATTTTCCAACATTTTAATGACATTTTTTAAGGGTATTGCCCTATGGATTCAAGCACCTTAAAAGTCTTTAAATTATGCTAATTATAAAGATTTATACATCAAAGTAATAAACAAATAATTTCAAATACTATTTAGTTAATATTATATGATGAGCAATGATGGAAACATGAATTTATTTAGGGCCTGGTTTTTTTTGTCTTGGCTTATTCTATAATATAATATATAATGGTTTAAATTGTCTAGAATTTTTTTTAGTGGGGCTAAAGCACGAAAACAACATAACTAAACTCGAACAAGGCCTATAGTCTAGTTAAATTTAGAAATTTTGCGTGATTGTTAGTGGATGCGCATCAGATTGTCTTAATTTTGATGTTTGACCGCTTCGTTATTGTAATGGCCCTTTGTGACTAGTTTGTATTGGTCCTTTGTGGCTAGTGACTTTTTTGCTGAATTATGAATGCAATCAGTGGCGGTTCCAAGATTTGAAAGTAGGACAGGCAAAACTTACCTATTAAATTTGATAGTACAACTTAATTTGATTAATAAACATAAAAAAATAACACATAGAAGGGAGCAAAAAATGAATGAGAGAATCATAACCAAAGAATCTCGTTGGATAAATGGTAAATTAATCAAGACATATGCACGCCTATCGTTAACATATCATATTTCCTTTTTTCTTTTTCTTTTTTGTATTTGTATTTGTATTTGTTTGTTCTTCCAAAAAATAAGAGTTTTTCTATTTAAATCTCGCACTTCTATTTGTTCACCTCAATTTCTAATTCAAATTTTCACAATTTCTAAGAAAACCTCACTATCTTCCCAAACTACTCCTAAATATACACCTAGCAGGAAAAAAAAAAAAAAAAAAACTCATCAACCTCATAATCCACACCCCGCTACCTTGCCCCTCACCACTCTAAGTTCACTTCAACCTCACATTACTTAAAGAAACACTGTTGTCAAATATGTAGCAGCATTGAAAATGAACTATGAGGTTTTGTGAAGAGAAAATGAGAGTGTAGTAGGTTTCTTGGATTGAAAGAGAAATAATTTGGCAATAGGGTGTAGAGGAGTTTGTGCTTTTCTAAAACTTAATATGAAGAGTGGTGGGGTGTGTATATAGATGTACTAGGATTAAGTATTAAGTTGGATGATCTTTTTTGTCTTTTTACACCATAATAAAACTTAAGAGCTTAATAATTTAAGTATTAAGGTGAACAAAAAAAAAGTATGGGGTTTAAATAAAAAAACTAAAAAATAATATGACCATCAAATCATTCGTATTAAAAAATAAAATCTCAGGAGAAGAGAAATAAAAATAAAAATAAAAATTAGAAGTCGTAGTAATGCACAAAGAATAACAATATAAAAGAGGAAACTATAAGAAGACTATTGTATTTTGTCTTCACAAGCAATAATATTTTGTTTTTAGGTTTCTATGTAGATATTTTTCTTCTTTGTACTAAGAATGAGGAAAAGAACATACGCTTAAGGGGTAAAAAAGAAATAATCACATAATCACATGTTGACAGGAAAAAGAAAAGAAAACAATACATGATGATGGGTAAAAATGACAACTAGAAGAGTGAGTAACTATATTATTTAATGAGGGTTGGATTTTAAATTTTCCCAGCATAAAAAAGCTTTGCCCAACCAAAAGAAGAATAGGAGAAGTCGAGCGGTGGGACTCAGGTAGGCAGTGTATGTTTGTGTAGGCTAATATATGTAGCTATTTGTTTATTTGGAAAAATTTGGGCTGGGCAGTAGCCCACCCTGCCCTTGGCATAGATCCACTAGTGAATGCAATCATAGAATTTCTATAAATTTTTTTTTAAAAAAAGAAAAAAGCCTAAGGTGAAACTCAGCACCAAATTAAAGCCTAGTACAGTCCCTTAAGGCCATGTTTGGTACGCCCCACTGGACTAGATTTGGTTAAATAGCACTCGAAACCCTTGTTTTGGTAAAAGACGAGATTAACTTAAATGAGATTGTATAGTCCAATAGTGAAAAAATGCCTCACTCGCTTGTCTAATACAGTGAGCTTGAAAAGTTGTCCGCTAAATAGCACGCTCACTAAATAGAACACGTGAGTCCGACGCCTTTCTTTAAAAAAAATCAAAATTTTATTTATTTATTTTTAATTATTGTTTTAGATCTTTGAATGGGGTTTTTTTTTTTTTGGAGCATTTATTTTTGTAAGATAAAAATCCTTGATTAAATTTAAATATTACAATAATTATTTTGATATTGCATTTGGAAAATCAAACTATAGTAATTTACAAATGTTTGATTTTTTTTTTATATTGAAACAAGTTTAATAATTCATGATGTCATGCTTTTTTTTATCGAAAGCAATTTTTACCTTGTCAAATTATATTTTTCAGTTTGAAGTCAAAAGTCAAATATACAAAAATTATACATATATATTAATCTTGGTGTATATTGTTATAAATCTTTGAATTGGGTTTCTTTGTAGCATTTATTTACCTATTAGGTTAAAAACTCCAATTAAATTTAAATATTATAAGATTGTTTTTTTAGTAAGACACAACACCAAACATAGGTCTTTACTATTTTTACAATCCAGCTTCTTAGTCCGACCTATCACCAAACGTAAATCAGTACTTAATCCAGCTTATGCCAATCCGAGCTAATTCGAGACAGTCCTAAGATTTAGTCCAGTCCATGATAGTTATGCCTATTGATGATGGTCATATTCATCAGCTTGTGTAGATAGGTTAATTTATGTCGTCTTTGTTAGACTTATTGCATGTGGTCGATATGAGAGACGATAAATTAATTAAGTCTCTGTCATATACTTATTGCATGTGGTCGATATGAGTGACAACAAATTAATTAAGTCTCTGTCATAGACTTATTACATGTAATTTAACATAGACTTATTGCATGTGGTCGATGTTAGTGACGCCACAACTATAATTTACCCCATTAATCAATGTCATCTTTGTCAGACTCATCAGCTTGTGTAGATAAGAGTGATGAGCAGGAGATATGACGAGCTAGGAGAGAGAACAAAAACACGTATGAAAGATCACGCCACAACATAGAAGATTGTGTTGTCAAAGAGAGGCTCACTTCGGGTTTTACCCATCAACATGATTAAAGGATTTGTCAAATAACTATATATCCAGTGGAATTTTTTTTTTTTCATCAATGCTGGAAATTGTATGGCAGCTAAGTCATTGGTGAAATAGCAACCATTATGTTAGGAGTAGTCTAGGCTGGCATTCAATATTAGAATGTAACCCACGCCTTTTCTTACGACCCATCACTGAGGCTCATAAATCAAACCCTAGTGCTATTTGATTTAGAAGAGGTTGTGAAAGTCGCAATGTGTAACATCCCACATCGACTAACGGAGAGAGGGTGATGTGCCTTATATGTACATGCCCACCTCCGTCTAGCACAATACCTTTTGGGATCTCACTGGCTTCGAAGTCATGAGAATTTCGAAGTTAAGCTAGTTTGGGCTAGAGCAATCCTAGGATGGGTGACCCACTGGGAAGTTGCTTGTGAGCTCCTAGAAACAAAACTGTAAGGGCAGAGAATGGGGCCCAAAGCAGACAATATCGTGCTACAGCGGAGCCAATCAATGATGTGATAATTTGGTATCAGAGCCACTATGTCGTGTGGTGCGAGTGTGCCGACGAGGACATCGGGCCCCTAAGGGGGTGGATTGTAACATCCTACATCAACCAACGGAGAAGGGGTGATGTACCTTATATGTATATACCCACCTCCATCTAGCACGAGGTCTTTTGGGAGCTCACTGGCTTCGGAGTCATGGGAACTTCAAAGTTAAGCGAATTTGGGCTAGAGCAATCCTATGATGGGTGCCCCACTGGGAAGTTGCTTGTGAGCTCCTAGAAACAAAACTGTGAGGGCAGAGAGAGGGGCCCAAAACGGAAAATATCGTGCTACGACGGAGCGGATCCAAGATGTGACACAATGCGAAAGCTTATATATGGTGGATTTGGCTTAAATGCAAATCCAGTTGGTTCACCGTACAACTAAATGAACAACGGTCCTATGTTTTGGATGTCCTAGGCGAACATCTTAAATGCGGCCTTTTACTCTATATGTATATAGAGTATGTGATTTTTTTTTGGTAAGTTCAAAAAAATATTATATGAAGTCAAATTCACAATTGTAACATAAAAGAAACAATCAATATGTAATGGGCAATGATTTCCCCACTCCTATTTTATCCACTTACACTCCTTTTTTAGTTATAAAAAATGAGTGTAAGTGGATAAAATAGGAGAAAAAGGAGTGGGGAAATCACCATTCTATGTAATTTACACAATAACTTTATAAAATCCATTAAAACATCACTTAAATATCACTCGTCCTACATTTTTCGATTCAAAAGTATCAATTAACTTTACATAATCAAGTTTTTGTATCATGTATTTTTCAATTTCCTAATTGATTAAACTAGGTTAAGTGTTTTAAGCTATAAGTTTAAAAAATAATTGGGTCTTCATTGAGTTTTCTCTTTTTTATTTTGAATAGAATGATTATGTAATTTGGGCCTAACATAATATTTATATAATATTGTTTTATTTTATTTTTAAATATAGGTTTGTACATATAGTTTTTAAGGCCTTCTGCTCTTCCAAAGATACCATCTTGCCTGCTTGTGCCCAGGGCCTCCTCTGACTAAATGGGTAACTTTGTTTATTTCGATGCCCAAATTCAACTACACCCAAACATCTACCCCAGTCCAAATTAAAATCTATATATAAAGACAGAAGGCCTTAAAAGTGAAACATTGAGATAAAATTGTAAGAAAACACTGTAGTAAATAGCAATACACGTCTTATTTGAATATAACCCTTGATTATGGCTAGGAGAGAGCAAATATGATAAACAATGATCAATTTCTGTCAAAACTTGGTATTAGTTTCTCCCAATATCTCAATTTCATGTAGATTGTTGAAGCATTTGTTGTTATCATAAATCATTACTTGTTTAATACATTCTCAATAGTCACCCGTATTTTAAGATACTTTACTCTTAATTTCATTATAATCGTGTGTTGTTCGTCATGCTAGTCTTACTTATATATGGTCTTCATGTAAGTGTTGCAACAACATCGAGAAAGGATGCTATAAGATATACTTTTTTGAAATACTTACTGTAGTTAAATTTTATTATTCACTCACTTGCCTCGGACTTTTGGTGAAAATGCCCTTTGTAAATTAGTTGAATTACATGTTTGGCCCATAGTGTTTGATTCATTTTTTACTGTGGTTCATCTTATTTCACTATGATCAATTTTAGTCTTTGTAGTCTTGTTTGACTTGCAAAGAAAGCCAAAATTGTAATTTACGTCATATTAATCAATGGAATTCCACGTCGCGTCGTACCATCACCATTGCGAATTTGAGATGTTCTTCTTGTTTATCCAAAACGTTCAGAAACATCCCAAAAGTAAGCATTTCGTTTATTTCCCATAATAATGTTGAAATTGTAATACGACTATCTATTAGCTTTTGATTTAGTGGTCGTTATCTTCATTTTGTTGGAAAATGTCTTATGTTCAACTTGTGAGAACGTCACATATGTGTCGTGAATTTGATACCTTATTTGCGACTACCATATATATTTCCCTCACTATAGAATTTCGCTTAATATTATTGTGTATATAGTCCGTTGTAAAATTAGCTTTGCGCAAGGAAAGCCAAGCCCAAAGGCCTAAAACTAGCAGTCCAATACCCATATACGACTCACAAGTGACTTCTTTAAATACAACGCGACCAGAGCCTGCAAAACACAATATTCCCTGGTCCGACAAAAAACAAGGGCAATATAGTCTAATCCACGAACCTGAAATTGAAATTGAACATATCCACATCATCCAAACCGTCCGATCTACATTCTTTGAACCTTTGAAGTGGAGCCGTCGATATAATATTTAGAGAGAGAGAGCGCCTCTCAAAATTTCAAATCTCACTCTCATCCCGCTCTCTTCCCATTTCAGACCAAAAGAGGGAGAGAAATCCATTTCGCATTTCACATTCTCTCCACAGAGATACAGAGAGAAAGAGAGAGAGAGAGAGAGAGGGTGTGTGTGTGTGAGAGAGAAGCACAGAGAAACATTTGGGGGAGTGGATCTAGTACAAGCGAGAACATCATAGGTTCGTGCGGCTCTCCCTCGCCGTCTCGCCATCGCATCAGAATGTCGGGTCGCCACGATAAGGAGAAGGGCGTCAACGTCCAGGTCCTCCTTCGTTGCAGGTACTTCCCTTCTCTATGGTTAGGGTTTTTAAAAAATTGTTACAGATTTATGCGGCATCATTTTGAAATCCCCAATTACTTGCCCATATTCTTAATTTGCTAATTTTAATTCTGCTTTAGGCCGTTTAGTGACGATGAGTTGCGGAGCAATGCCCCGCAGGTTATTACTTGCAATGAATACATGAGAGAAGTGGCTGTGTCCCAGAACATTGCAGGCAAGCATATAGATAGGGTTTTCACTTTCGATAAGGTATTTTCCTTCAACCCATACGCTGTTTTCTTGTTTCATGTTTTCTTGTACGAAAACTTTCAATTTGGTAGAGTAATGCTCCAATTTTTTTATTATTTTTGTTGCTTTTTTTTAGGTTTTTGGTCCCAATGCTCAGCAGAGGGATCTTTATGAGCAAGCTGTGATTCCAATAGTGAATGAAGTCTTAGAAGGCTTCAATTGTACCATTTTTGCTTACGGTCAAACTGGCACAGGAAAGACCTACACAATGGAGGGTGAATGCAAAAGGGCAAAGGTACTGTGTGTCCTTTGTCTTGTAATTAGTTTCGTGGTGATGTTTTATACTTTTTCGTTTATAAAAACGGTTGATATCATGGGCCCTTGCAACAGAGTGGGCCAAATGGAGAATTGCCTCCCGAAGCTGGAGTTATTCCGAGGGCTGTCCAGCAGATTTTTGATACCCTTGAGGGCCAGAACGCAGAGTACAGTGTAAAAGTCACTTTCTTAGAGCTTTACAATGAAGAGATTACCGATCTGCTTGCTCCAGAGGAACTTTCCAGAGTTTCTTTGGAGGAGAAGCAGAAAAAGCAGTTGCCTCTCATGGAGGATGGGAAAGGTGGAGTCCTTGTAAGAGGTTTAGAGGAGGAAATTGTGACGAGTGCTAGTGAGATTTTCACTCTACTTGAAAGAGGGTCTTCAAAGCGTCGCACTGCAGAAACTTTATTGAACAAGCAATCAAGGTAATGCAAATGCTTCTTTTACTGTCATTTTTTTTGGGGTGTCGACTTTTCTGCGTGTTACAGAATTTTTTTTTCCTTTTCCGAATTCAGTCGGTCACATTCTCTCTTTTCCATCACGATACACATTAAGGAAGCAACCCCAGAAGGTGAAGAGTTGATCAAATGTGGAAAGTTGAATCTGGTTGATTTGGCAGGCTCAGAAAATATCTCTCGTTCGGGTGCTCGAGAGGTGAAAATATTTTGTTTTACTGTTCTAGTTTTAAATAGTGTGATTGGGAATTGCTTTATTAATTCTATCCTTGAACTGTTCTTATTTTGTGTTATACAATTATTAGGGTCGTGCAAGGGAAGCCGGAGAAATCAACAAAAGTTTACTGACTTTAGGGCGAGTAATCAATGCTCTGGTGGAACATCTTGGACATATCCCTTACAGGTTTGCATGCACTTTTTATCCTTATGCCTATGTTCTTCGTTCTTCTCAATTGTGATAACAGATTGTATTTGGAATCAGGGATAGCAAGCTAACACGATTACTTCGGGATTCACTTGGAGGAAGAACCAAGACGTGCATCATAGCTACAGTTTCGCCAGCTGTGCACTGTCTGGAGGAAACTTTGAGCACACTGGATTATGCACACAGGGCGAAAAATATAAGAAATAAACCTGAGGTTTGTTATTCCATACTGGTACTCACAATTTGTTGATCTAACATGTCCTTTTTGGGTAAGTTTGTATAGTTTTTGGGGAAGTTGATTGTGGGTGCATAGAAAGTTATAAGCTTTTTTGTTACTGGAAGAAATGTAATAATCAAGTCATTTTCTTTGTGAAGTTTGTACATTATTACAAACTTATAGGAATGGTTATTCTGTTTTAGCAAATTGTCTGTGTTCTGTGAAGACTGTAGCTATGATCGCCATATGAGGCTCAATTTTTTGTAATATTCTTTTTTATGTTATTGCACAATGCTATGGTTGTATGTGATCTGTGGGATGTGTCGAATCCTTTAGTATTGTATAGTGTTTCATAAAATTATTAGGAGTTGCATCTTTATCTATTGAAATTATTTTTGTTGTGGTTGTTTGTAGGTAAATCAAAAAATGATGAAATCAACTCTTATCAAGGATCTTTATGGTGAAATTGAACGGCTTAAGGCAGGTCAGACACTTTGGATTCCAGTTGTTAAGTAAAGTTGTCTGTGTAACTTGAGGTGATTGTTCTAATATTGTGATTGTGTTCAGAGGTTTATGCTGCACGTGAAAAGAACGGTGTCTATATCCCAAAGGAGCGCTACTATCAGGAGGAAAGTGAAAGGAAGGTATGATTATTACTTCATTGTCCTGCAGTTTCTTAATGATCGTATTTGTATTTGGATCTGTTTGATAGTGTTTTTGAGGTATTGTTAACTCCTGATTCAATTTCTATGAATACAAGAGTTGCTTTCTGCTTTTGAAATTATCTTTTGGCTTTGTGAAATTTAACTTTCCGTTTCTCCCTTCTTTGCTTGTTGCTAGGGTGGTGGTAGTTATTATGCCCTTAGATAAGCACCTCTTGCCATACATGTTGAAATACAAGCTTTTGTTTCCTTTTTCGTTGATTATCCATTTCTGAGGGGTCTTATGGATTCCATTTTCCATATACTTATGCTCTTTCTTCTTGTGTCTAGTCCATGGCTGATCAGATTGAGCATATGGGGGTTATGCTAGAGACCCATCAAAAGGTTTGTTTGTATGATACTTGTGAGTCACTGAACTCTACTGGTTTTATGTTATATCTAACTTCAATTTTACATATATGGGATGTTACACACAGCAATTTGAGGAGTTGCAGGAGAAATATAATGTCCAGGTTCGACAATGTCATGATTTGAGTGGCAAACTCGATTCAACCGAGGTGAGATATTTCCATATACTGTATTCTTGGCTATGGATTTTTGTTTGTTTGTAGATTCTGAAACTAAGTGCAAAAACAATTTTGCAGAAAACTTTGAATCATACCACTAAGTTGCTTTCTACGGCTGATGAAGAATTGATGAAATGTCAATATGCTCTGAAAGAGAGGGATTTTATTATCTCTGAGCAGAAGAAAGCGGGTATATCTGAATCCTTAACTTCTTGAATTTGATTGTCTTCTGCGTTTATGTTGTTTGTTTTGATATATTGAATGCATGGCAGAAAGCGCCCTGGCTCATCAAGCATGCATGTTGCAATCTGACTTGGAGAAAGCACTTCGTGATAATGCTTCCTTGTTCTTAAAAATTGGTTTGTGTCGTACATTAAGAAATTAGTTTTCAACTTATTTTAATTGTCTACCAAATTGACTAAATTTTTCTAATTTTTGGTTTATGATGTGATACTGCGCAGGTAGAGAGGACAAGCTGAGTGCTGATAATAGGTTGGTAGTGAATAATTACCAGGCAGATCTTGCCCAACAAATTGGTTCTCTTTGCCAGATGGTGGCAACATCAATGTCTCGTCAGAATGAACACCTTCAGTGTGTTGAGAACCTCTGTCATTCTTTTTTAAGTGCACACGTTAAGGTATTGTTTGAATGTTTTCAACAGTTTTCTCTTTCTTTATATTTGTTTACGTTTTGGTTTGTGTTTTAATGATGTATTCATGGTTTTGGACTTCCTGCTTTTAGGCGATTATGGACATGAAGCACAAATTGACATCTTCAAGGACTTTGTATCTGTCTCATATTGAGGCAGTGCAGAACGTTGTGCGTTTGCACAAGGCGAGCTCTAATGCTGCTCTAGAGGAAATTTCATCTTTGGCTTCTTCTAATGCAAATTCTGTTGAAGAAGTAGGTTGCAACAAAGGAGTTCCCCTGTTGCACTATTTTAATTTTCTTATTTTTGCGACTTCTGTTGATTGATAACGAGCTTATTTATTTATTTATTTTTTCGTAACCAGTTTCTAGCTTCAGATGCTGGTGAAGCAGCTTCAATATTTGAGGATCTTCAGAGTGGTCTCTCGACACAGCAGGGTGAAATGGTAGCCTTTGCTAAGGAATTGAAACAGGTACGTGATCTGACATGTACCGTATTGCATTTTCAAGTTTTGGTAGCTTTGGAGGTTCTTATAAAGTTCATGTATGAAAATGTATGTTGTGCATCAACTATTTTGCATCGCATGGAAAAATAACTTTGCTTCTCACCTATATTTCTCTGAATTGCTTTTCATAAAAGTTTCTTATTTAGTTGCTGCAAATTTTGTATAACAGAGGTTCCATTCTAGTATTAAGCAAACAAAGGACATTTCTGAGTACTCTCAAGGATTCCTACACAAGCTTTTGGAAGAATCAAAGAGGCTTGAAGATCATGTGGCACAGACGAGCGATATTAAAATGAATAGTATTGCTGAATTTCAGAAGGCTTATGAGGTATGTATACACAATCATTGTACATATGTAGCGTCTTCTTGGAATTTTGCTGACATGCTAAGTGTTTGTGCCACACAGGAGCAGTCGAAATCTGATGCTGAGAAGCTTATTGCTGATATCTCTAGCTTAGTCTCTATTCACATTTGTCGCCAAAAAGAGATGGTTTGTTTGTGTTGATTTTTTATTTTTGTTATTAGTTTTTCAAACTAAGGCATGTATTCAATCTCATTCCAAAATGATTGCTGGTTGAACTGCCAGGTGGATTCCAAGCTTGTTGGTTTCAGAGAAGGTGCTATTGCAGACAAGTCTTTCATGGATGGTCATGTTTCCTCCATGGAGGGTATTGCCACAGATGCAAAAAGAAAATGGATGGAATTTTCAATGCAAGCAGAGAATGACGCTAAGGATGGTGCTGATTATTCTGCTGCAAAGCATTGTCGCATGGAGGTTCTTTTACAGAAAAGGTAAGTTAATGCTTTATGTTATATATCGAGTCTTGATCCATATACTTTGTTTTCTTGAATGTTGATGTTTGTTCTGTCCTTTTATTTGTTTAGTGTAAGTACTGTTGATTCAGCTTTGGAGCACTGGAAAATGACGCAGGAGTCTGTGAATGATATGGGAAATAAACATGTTTCAGCCATGGTGTCACTTATCAGGTGGGGAAACCCTTTTCACATCTTGTTCATTAGGATTTTTGTTGCCTTTGCCTAAATTTTGTGTGGGCAACCCACTTTAATGTTCTTTTAAAAAAAGTATATACAGGAGAAAGGACATTGCTTGTTAACCTTAACAGAAAAAAGGGCACTTCTTGTTAAACAATATAGGGACATGTTTTCAGTTCTATGGATTGTAATGAGCAACATGATGTTGAGATCAATTCAGTGAGGGCTGCAGTTGAGCAAGATGTGGCAAAGAATAGTGAGGATGTCATTCAGCATGTTGATTGTGAGTTTTGTTTTTCTTATTCTAATATATCAACTGGTGATTGCACAAATACTCTGAATCTCAGTCCAGCTTAGATGATTTGTCCTTATGTGTTTGTGATCAATGTTCTTTCATAAATGTTTTAATTGTGTAAATGAAATGTTAGCGTGATCCAATTGGTAATCAAGTGCCTGTTAGTTGGACACATTCCAAAATGTTTGCGGTTTGAAAAGTGGCCGAGAGAGTAGATGACATACAAATAACTGTTTCGTTTCGTACTCTGGGGGTTGTATCTCCTACAATCTACTATGCTTCTTTGCTATATATATTTTTCTTTTTTAGAAATAATGCAGTTATAATAATTGTAGAATTTGGTTGTTTTCTTTTGGGATTTATGCATTTCGATTTGAACAATGATGAAATTGGAATGTTGTCATAAATGTAGATAAAGATTCATATAAGTTTTCTAAGCATACGATTTATGAAACCTCCTACAGGTGTGCATGAGCAGGAGCGTGAATCTATTTCTGAAATCTTGGAGAATATCAAGGCTCATTCAAATACCCTTGAGACTTTTCAGGAGGATCACTCTGGCCAAGCTGCATCAATTGAAGAGAGGGCACGGGATACCTTCCAGAACCAGTATGCGGTAAGCTGTTTTTCCTCACAACTTGTCATTATGATGATGAGGATTAATGAACTTATCACTCATGATTATCTTCATGAAGTGGGCATACTTTGTGCCTGATATGTAAGAAAAGTAACTGAGGTTGGCAATTTATCCCTACTGGTTTAGTATATGTGCGCATTTGCAATTCAGTTCATGACTTTGGTGTTTAATATGTAGGATTATGAACCTAGTGGATCTACACCCGAAAAGACTGAGCCAGAAGTTCCAAGCAAGGGCACGATTGAGTCACTTCGAGCCATGCCTATGGAAGCTCTTGTTGAGGAATTCCGGGAAAACCATTCATACGAATCATTCGATGTGAAGGAGTTGAAACCGTCACTTATACCCCGGTCACCGCTTACACAACTAAACTAGTAGTGGTGTGATTTTAGCTCAATCACTTGCATTAAATTGGTATTTGTATTTGTACCATTATCCTACAATTTTTTTCTTGCTTTTGAGAAAAAGGATGTAAGAGAAGGGTGTATTGCTTGTTCCTAGCACAAGTCAGTGTATCAATAAATCCAGTCTTTGGATTTAGCAGTGTAGCTCGATATAGGAATGTATATTGAAGGCAGAAACCTACCTACATGTGTTTTAAGTTTTATTCCATATATGCTATTTTGTTAAGCCAATTGTGTACGTGATAATTGTTTGGTTTCCTTTTGTTTTAGGAAAGCGCTTTTTTCAAACACATCGTAAGTTCTTTGGATTACAGTACTTTTGTATGTGTAATTTGCTAATTTCTGTTCAGACCAAAAAAAAAAAAAAAAACAATTTGCTAATTTCTGAATAAAAATGTTTGTTTTTTTAAATATTTTTTATTATAAAAATACTAATTTCTTTAAAACGGATGACCAAAAAAGTAGCAGTCAAGGTTTCGTTTTCCCGCTCATTTTCCTTCTCATTCTTAAACTATAAAGCTCATGGCAGTTTGAAAAATTTCGACTCCCTCAACCACTATTATGCTCAAACTGAAAAACCAGATCGACCTTGTTGCAAACCATGGCATCCTTAGGCTCTACTTGTTTTCTACAGCTGCTATTATGGCAGATACCCGAATTGCCCGTACACATATACATAAAGAACCGCTGCCTCTCTTGTCACGCTCTCGGCCGAAATTCTATGTCACTGCCCTGCTCAGCTCTAGAAACATCTTCCACATTAGAGAAGTCCATGCCCAAGTGGTTGTCAATGGGATGCTCCAAAATCTCACTGTTGCAAACAAGCTGCTTTACATGTATGCCCAGCGTAGGGTTTTGGGTGATGCTTATGCTCTGTTTGGTGGGATGGGGGGGAGAGATTCAGTGACTTGGAGTGTAATGGTTGGTGGGTTTGTAAATGTTGGTGATTTTACTAATGGTTTTGCAACATTTAGGGAGCTAATTAGAAGTGGGGTGACCCCTGATATTTATACATTGCCTTTTGTGATTAGGGTTTGTAGGGATACGAAGGACCTGAAAATGGGCAGATTGGTTCATGCCATTGTTTTGAAACATGGGTTGCATGCAGATAACTTTGCTTGTGCTTCGCTCGTGGACATGTATGCAAAATGCAAGGTTGTAGACGATGCTCGTCAACTGTTTGATAAAATGCAGAACAGGGATCTTGTAACGTGGACGGTGATGATTGGTGCATTTGCTGAGTGAAGGAATGCTGATGA